CACACACACACACACACACACACACACACACACACACACACACACACACACAAGAAAAGCAAATCATGCAGGTAATAACATCAGCTACAATATAACAGTGAGGCTCTGTGGCACTCTGTGTCGCTGTCAAATTTTTCCTGTTAGCTGTTGTTGGACGGCTGTGGCTCAGGAGCAAATGCTGCTGTTTAAATGTGATCATGAGTCATTGCTCTTGTCTTGTAAATTTTATCAGGAGTGAATATACGTTCTTGATAAACATCAGGAAAAGAGATTGAAATTTACTTCAAAGAGCCGAGCGTCACTCTGAAGCTTTATCCGTGTTGTCAGTTGTCAGTTGGGAAAAGTGTCAACCTGTGGAGCTGCTGAAGTACAGTTTTACTCATGAAAAACAGGTTTAACATAGCTTTGATTTTTAGTAGTCATCTTCATCTCATCAGTGTTACCGAGGCTGACTGAAGACAAGGTCAGGCCAATAAATCCTTAGGATTAGTCACCACCAACACTCCTAAACTTCATAAATAGTAGACCAATAGAATAGGAGACTTTGTACTCAGACTAAAAAACCCAACATTATATGTTCTAATAATTTCCTGCAAAAATCACAGCATGATTTTGCTGTGTTGTTTTTTTTTTTAACACAGTAATATTCTGTAAATAACAATGCATTCTGGGAGCTTGTGGCTGTTTGGCCTTTAAATCACAATTACAAGCTCCACTGTAAATTTCACATTTACAGATGCACTCATTTCTAGTGGACTTGGACAAGCAGAAAAAAGGGTGAAAAAACAAAAACTATCGATTGAAGTGCACTTAAAAATACTGCGTTTACTCCTAAAATCTAGTAAAAGTACTGCGTTATTGCAATCACAGTAACATCCCTGCACTCTGCCTTCTTCTCCTCTTGAGGGCGCTGCTGTCTCGGATAATTCACCTTGTGATCGTGTGTTTAATGAGCAGCAGCTAAATCCTTGATGGTGTTGATCTTGGGGTTCTGGGGAGCTGTTAAGGGACAACAACAGATGACAGAAAATATCCATCCTCCACGACGAGGTCTAATGTCTGCATATAATCAATATTATCCAAACGTCCAGCTGCACTGCAACACAGGATGTGTTAAACTCACGTGTTTCTCAGGTGTGTGTGCCTAAAGCCTTACGCTGTCACCTTTTTTTAGAAGAAGGAAAGAGAACAGTTTGTCAAGGATATCTTCATTAATGTCAGAAATGGGTGGCTACAGCCCTGTGTGTGTGTGTGTGTGTGTGTGTGTGTGTGTGTG